GGGGATATATACTGTGTTATTGGAGAGGATACAGTGCGGGGATATACTGTTATTGGAGAGGATACCGTGTTGGGGCGGGGATATATACTGTGTTATTGGAGAGGATACAGTGCGAGGATATACTGTTATTGGAGAGGATATAGTGCGGGGGGATATATACTGTTATTGGAGAGGATACAGTGTGGGGGATATATACTGTGTTATTGGAGAGGATACAGTGCGAGGATATACTGTTATTGGAGAGGATATAGTGCGGGGGGATATATACTGTTATTGGAGAGGATATAGTGCAGGGGCGGGGATATATACTGTGTTATTGGAGAGGATATAGTGCGGGGGGATATATACTGTGTTATTGGAGAGGATATAGTGCAGGGGCGGGATATATACTGTGTTATTGGAGGGGATATAGTGCGGGGGGATTTATACTGTTATTGTACAGAATGAAATGTAAGTGGAGTTGTGAACAGCCATTTTTATTTTGAGTTCCTTTTTATATATTGCAATTGTTTGTTCCAAGTGTTAAATCAAGAGGTTACTGGCATTCTGCTCCCTGGTATCTCGCTAAATCAGCAGTGTGAGGGTGTAGTTGTGGTATTCATAATTTTATCCCTGGCACAGCAGATGTCCTTTTATTGCACCATGCCGTGATAGATCGATCGCTTACTTTTAAAATCAATCACAGCAATTTCACTGAATGGCCGATGGTGATTGGTTGTCAGTGAAAGTAGTGTTTTGTGGCTAAATGCTTGGGCAATCTATTTAGCTAAATAGGCCAGCGTTTTTCTCAGCTGTGTGCATAGTAACACTCTGCTCCCTGCTGGAACCCAAGGACAGAACAATGTTACATTCTCCCTGCATGGCTGCCATCAGGCGTTCCCCATAATTGAATGTCAGTGCTTGTTTTCAGCCTTTAAAGCCGGCTTGTTGCCTGAGGGTTTGGAGAATTCCCATCTGATCTTTCCTGTAAATAAACTCTGGATGTGGGCCGTTGCTTGTCACTGGGAGCAGAAAATGCATGTTCCTCTTGACAGTTGCAATCTTTTTATTCTTGCCTTGTTACAGTCTGTCTATACGAACACTATGTATACAGTATAAAATA